CCGTGGGTCAACCTCACACAACTACTCGGTGTAGGCACCGATAAAGTTTTGGAGATATTCAGCTTTAGTAAGTTATACGGCAATTGGAACACAAATAGGTCATGCAAGTGCCGAAGATTAGAGGTGTTACTGGAAAGTAACACACAGAGAAAAGGTGAAGAGATAAGGACAAATTGAAGTTCGACGCTCTTTTTATTGGCGCTAGCGAGTCTAGGAAAGGGAGTTGGTGAGGGGGGGGGGGCAGAGAACGGGGCGAGGGAGGAGATGGGTGGAGTAGAAAAGGAGTATAGGGGTAGGGGGTATGGGTGTGTGGGGAGGAGGAAACATGGCAACTGAAGAGGGAAAAGAGGTAGAAGGGAAGAAGGGGACGGGAGGGGGGGAGAGAGAGAGGGAGAAAGAGAGAGTTGGATGGAATCGTATGGGGAAGCGGGATGAAGAGTGGAAGGGACAAAGGAGGGGGGGGGGCAGTAAAGCATGGACAGAAGAAGAGAAAAGGGCGAGTGTGGTGTAACATTACACATATATAATTTCTATAACGTACAACTCAGAACACACAGCTAGAGTGTTCACTCCGGTGGGAGCTGTGGAATGAGACTGTATGTTACTAATTAACACGCTCGCTGTAGAGAGAAGTAAGACGTAAGAAGTGGGGACTAGGGTGGGAAGTAGACATAAAAACCACAAATTAATGAGAGGCGAGCCTTAACAGAAGCGTGGTAGATCTATATACAATAAAACAAAGCCATAAACACATTGTACAACAATGGAAAATGATTGAAAGTGATCAATTTAAAATATTTTTCACCACGAGTCAGTAAATTAATTGGTCATCTTATTATAAGTAAACATGGGATACTGCTGTAGGCAAAGTTCTAATAAACACAGTATTATGCTAAACTTAATTTATTATAAGCATATCGTGTAACAGTATATCATTTCCAATTCAAGTAAAGAACCTGCACTGGAAATAGTAAAACAGAGAAGCAGGAATAGAAAGAACTCCGCCCTATGGGTTCATGAGATCGCTCACCGACCAGACCAATTAATGGTACGGCAACAATATTTTGTTGCAGCGATCATACTGGCATATAAACAGCAAAACATAAAAATAAATAATCATCAACAACATCTACTACAGCAGCAGCAGTAGCATTAACAACAATAACAACTCATCCCCCAGTCTTCTTAGTTTTAGTAAGAATTTTACAGCACTTGCAACAAACTAAGGTCATACATAAGTGCCGAAGAACAGAGGTGTTGCGAGACAGTAACAATCGCGAAAACGGAGCAGAGACGAGGACGACAATTAATGTTTGATAGGAAAGAAGGCGCAAACCACACAGGAGCACACGCCAACCACCCACTTAGTCTTCTTAACCCGACAACAACACCAACAATAACAATAATAATAATAATAATAATAATAATAATAATAATAATAATAATAATAATAATAACAACTACAACTACCACAAGGCTACCCACCCAGCCATCTGGTTCTGTATGCCCTGGGTCTGCTGGCTGTAGGAGTTTGCGATGTTCCCGGCAGAGTACAGCCCCATGGGAGAGTTGTACTGGGAATGCACCACGTTGGGCACCGCCACCTTGGGCTGGCCGAATGGCTGGGCGCGGCGGTTATGGCTGCTCCCGATCGTGCATGGCTCCTGGTCGGTTTGGATTTAAAATTTGAGTTTGAGCTTGACATTGACTTTGAGTTTGTTTTTTGTTTTGTTTCGTTTTGTTTTGTTGGTGTTCTTGGGTTTTCTTTTTTTTTTTGGGGGGGGGGTGAAAGCGGTTTACGGCGCTCGCAACTGCATAAGGTCAAATGAGCGCACGGGACACACATTAACCCTATCCGCACGTCGTGTTTTGCTATCGTATCCATACGACGTGGGGAACTCAGCGCCACCACTTTCCAAAAAGGAAGTTTACTCGTTAATCCGATCCGTCCGCTTTGCACAGCAGTCTGTCAAAATGATTTTTTGAGAAATACTGAACGTTTCAAAGAGACCCTCGTACTAGAAGTATTCTAAAATATGAAGAATACAACTCCGGGGTACAAAATGACCCCTGGGCGTATATTTTCAGTAGGTAGGAAATTTTGAATTTTTGCCCAGGTGGCGGCCGAAGCCTACTCTCATCGATTAGACCACCAAGGGATCTTTAACGTGCGCAACTTGCACTCGGGACCTCCGAGATTTTTCGCCCTAGTCCGGGAAGGCTAGGTTAACATCTTTCCTACCAGAAGATCAGGAGCGCGGTTAAAAGACAGCAGTAAGAAGGAGCCAAGGAGTAGCAGGAGAAAGGCTGCAGAAAGAGTCAGGAGCCCAGAGGAGGAGGCAAAGGAGGTGAGGGGGTGGGGGCAGAAAGTGGAGACGTAAGCAGACGACAAAACTTTCATAGAGAGCAGCAAAGGAGGTGGAAGAAGACAATTTTAGAGAAGGAAATGCTTTCCTCGCTACCCGGAGTTTGAGTTTGAGTTTGAGTAAAGAAAAGCACATAGATCGACATGATAACGGTCATGTAGTCAGGGAAGAAGCAAGACAGACAGAAAGAAACAAAAGAACTATAAGGACCTACCAGTGGCGCCCTTCAACTACCCGCGCTCCTGATGGAGATAAGGTACAAGGGACCTACTTATCACCTCTACAAAGAGTGTTCACTAAGTTTTTACCCTGCCTTTAGTTTTGATAAGAATTTCACGGCAATTCCAAAACAGAAAAGGTCATGAAAGTGCCGAAGATTAGAGGTGCTACAGATAGTAACAAGCAAAGAAAAGAAGGGGGAGAGATACGGACGATAGACGTCAGGTATTACGAAAATATTTTTATCGAGTGTCTGCGTCTTTCTTCTGAGATGTTGTATCCCTCTCAGCCAGTGTTAGCCCTGACAGGCAGGGTTGGAAGCCCAATTGCAATATGATTTAAATTGTGTCGACTGTGGTGTAAAAATACATATACGTGTATTTCAATACCCCCAAAAATAGAAAATACAATAAAATAGAGTGAAAATTTACATCTGGAGGTTTGTTGATGGCCAGTGAGGTTTTCTGTACGGGCGTGATGTCTTCCCCTGTGGCCGACTGGATTGTCCTCAGTTCTTGTGGCCGGAGCTCACTCAGTGGCGTCACTTGCGGCTTCCAGATCTTCACAGCGCCCCTGGTGGTACAAAAGACAAATTAATGTTACTCGGAATTTTAAAAAAAAGTTTTAGTAAGTTTTTACGGCACTTGTTTAGTTAGTTTTAGTAAGAGTTTTACGGCACTTGGAACACAATAAGGTCATATAAGAGCCGAAAATTAGAGGTGTTACAAGAGAGTAACAAACATAAAAAGAAGGAGGAGAGATAAAGACGTTAGATCTAGTTGTTTGAGAGTAAAGAAGGAGCAAATCACACCAGAGCACCCGACAACCACCCACTACGGCACTTTGGAACACCAATAGGTAAAGCAATTGCCGAAAATTAGAGGTTCAACTAGTATTAGAGAGCAACATACAAAGGAATGAAGGGTGACAAATAAGGACGTTAGATGTTTGATATGAAAAAAATACAGTACATACGTTTCTGTTTGGTTGAGAAAAGAGAAACACATCGACACAACAAAGGTCACTTAGTGCTGGGAAAAAGGTAAGAGAAACAGGCAGAAACTACAGTGGGAAAGTAAGGAAGTAGGACCTACAGGTGGCGACCTCCAACCAGCTAGACTGAAGAATGAATATACAACCGAGTTTGGGTAATTTGGATATGCCATAATTCTGATTTAAAGCCATACATACAGCCGTTCCATTTAAATGATGTATTGTGTAGCAACCCTGACGTGTGTCGTCATACCAAAGATTCTCTACTTGTATCTTTGGTCATACTAGGAACTCTATTTTTAGAAAAAATGTGACTAAGATCCTTTATTTTCTGACCCCTACTTTATAATCATGTATCGGTAGCGGAAATCATATCAGCAACAAAATTAAGCTAGACCATGTATCGCCCCTGTAGGTGG